GTAGATAACAAAATTATATTACCTGGATCCCAGCTTCACGTGTTCGGACATCTCGGCATTTCAAGCCAAGATCATCCATTCGAGCTAAAGCCAATTCTCGGAGATTCCCTTTCTCAACTCCAGAAGTCACTAGAGGCATAGGGATATCACGTTGAACCCTGTAAACACGTGTCCAAGGAGGCACCAGTGAAAGGATCCTTGCTACAATGTCTACAAGCTGCTCTGGCGGATAATTCCGATACCTGGACATGATAAAACTTATGATGATCTTACTGAAGTACTAGTTTCAAGTTTGCATCCAACAATATGGTGTTAGTACTATCGCCAACTAGGTTGCATGAAATCAGTGTTACTGGATTGTTAAATAAATAAATGATGTCAGCGATGGAAAAACAACACGTAGCATAACAAAATCCAGAAAGTAGACTATACCTTCCAGTTTTCCACAGTTCATAAAGTCCCGTGCCACGAATAACAAGGGTCGGATAAATTTTAAGTCCATCTGCCCTAAATGAAGGACTTTCAAAGAATTCCTTAAAACTCTCCATATCTCTCTCAACACCAACATTTGGAAGGTCAGGCATCATATGAGCAACGACCTTCAAAATTTAACAAATGTATGAATGACAACTTTACCAGTAGATACTTGAAAATATACCTTAAAGTCCAAAAAGATAGAAAGGAAATGTATGAATCATAATAACAGCTGCAAGGCAAAACTTCATGTCAAATCCTTCTGAATAAGCTAAGATCCCTCCAAATAAATAACATCGCACCACAAATGTAAAATTGACCTTCCTCATTATATTTCCATTTTCAATTATTCCTCAAGGCTCATCTTCAACAGGCGGCTTGGGGAGGGAGGGGATTAGAGGCGGAAGGGTTTGTAGCCTGCAACTAAATGTAGAGATTCTACCCAAACCACCAACAAAAGAAGTCAGAAAAGCACCTTGAAGCCAGCATCCTTTGCCAAACAAAAGCAATCAGCCACAGCTGCTACAGTGTGGCCTCTATTTGTATCACGAGCAACATCCTCGTATGTGCTCTGGACTCCAATTTCTAGTCGAGTACAACCATAAGAAAGCATCTGCCTCAGATGAGGTCCAAGGCAGTAGTCTGGCCTCCTATTGGCGAAAAAAGCACAATTGAGTACACAATACATATATGAACAAAATGCTATATGCTTATATTATCTATCTATAATAGAATAGGAGAAGCAAAAGCACTATATTAAGACAAGTGTCTTAACCACAAAAAGCCAAGTGGCATTGTTAAGACAAAATAAACTACTTTTCTAATTTTTTTTTTGAATTTTAATTTTGAATTAATTGGTTACACTACTTGAATTAATAAATATAGATATCTTATAATTATCAATAAAAAACTAAAATACAAAAAATATGCTACTAATTCAAATTGGAGTTTTTAAAAATTATTTTACAATAAAAAAACAAAAATAACAAAAAATCAAAAACTACCAATTCAAATTGGAGAGTAATTTCTTCCTAGTATAGTAGTAGTAGAGTGTGTGTGTGTGTGTGTGTGTGTGTGTGTATGGGAGTAGTTATTATACTAAATTGGTAATTTATTAATAATTCATATGTCAATTTAACAATATTCAGTAATGAATAATACAATTAGATAACCAAGAAACAAACAAATATATATATATATATATATATATATATATATATATTTTGATTTGCACCGGGTGTCCGAGTCTCTAAGAGCCCCGACTAATCTCGGGGGTGCACAGGCCCTCGGCAAGGAGTTTCCCGCAAGTGCACCACGGTTAATTCAGGTTTTACCCAGTCCGATGGCCCTCAGAAATTGTTTATATATATATATATATATATATATATATATATATATATATATATATATATAGACTCATAAAATAGTTAGAATTATTATGAGAAAAGTCGTACATACACACATAACTAAAATCCATAATAAACAAATAGTCATAAATGAAGAATACTAAAAAAAATAAGTCAAATGATATCGTAAAAATAAATATAGCAATTAAATTTCTCATGTAGGAAAATTTAGTTAATAAATAGAACTCATAATTTCATAATGAAAAATACAAAAATATAAAGAAACTATTAGGATATTATACATAAGATAATATATTTTATATAAAACACATTTTATTAATTATTAAAAATATTAGTACATTTTTTATAAAATAATAAAAGGCTTATCTCTTTGATGAATTCAAAATTATAATTTAGTTAAAAAAATTATATTATTTAAATTTTCAGTAAATATAAAATGAGAAAACTAATCAAATACTATAGTAGAAATGAATGTACGAAAGAGGTGGATAAAGATAATTTTATAATATTTATATTTTGAATTAATTAATAAATAAAATATAAATAAATAACACAAATTATTGATAAATTTAGACAATTTTGAAGAATTTTAAACAATATAACATAAGTATAAAAATATATATTTCCAGAATAAGAAAATATATACGTATGTTCTACTAGAAGAGAATTAGTATCAAAATATTAAGCCAATTAACAAATTAATAAAACATCTCATTAGTAAATGTATAATACTAAGTACTTGCTAATTTAATAAAGAAAAAAACAAGGAATAAACAATTTATTTGATTACTATAATGCTTTGTATCTTTTGATTTTGTATAAATTTTATTATATTTATGTACACTACATTAAATAATAAAATAGTAACTAATATTTATTAAAATAATATGATATATTAGATCATAATTTTATAAGATTAATATTTTGTCACATTATCCGCGCATCGCGCGATTTCTAACACTAGTTAAGAGGTAAAAGCTCGACCAACTCTCCTAAAGAAATTAAGTAAGCAAGCATCTGCCACAAATGAGGTCCAAGGCAGTAGTCTGGCCATCTATTGGCGAAAAAAACACGATTGAGTACACAATACAGAACAAAGTGCTATATGCTTATATTAAGAGGTAAAAGCTCCATCAACTCTTCTAAAGAAATAAAGTATAGCACTTTGCCTACTTGTTTTTTTATAAGGTAGATTAAATTTAAGTATAGCACTTTGCTTACTTCTTTTCTTAGTTCAAATTATTTTCCATCACCTTACCAGTCTTCTGATCATTGAATATGGCAGAAGCTTAATTACAGTAACAACAATTCATAGATTGCAGAATAATATTATAACTAATAAACCAAAGATGGCAGTGATAATCATGAGGAGGAAGATGAGAACTCAAAATGTTCTCTTTCCTACTTGAAGATACACTATCATGCATTAGAACTCAGTCTGAACTCAGCTAGCCCATGAAAAAAGCAAGACAAAAGGGAGAAGAATCAAGTAAATCAATAGAATGTCTCGGTAATGGAGGACCAAATTATAAGGCAAAATAGTTTCTCGGGGTGCTTTTCCCTGTGGATTTTTCCTGTTTTGGCAAGTGCTTTTCACTCTGATTTTTAAACCACTTTCTCATATAGCAAAAAGTTACTCACGTTTCAATTGTCATCCCAATGCACTTTGTAGCCCCATGTTCAGAGTAAGCAACAGCCTCTTCAACATTGGCAGAAGTATGTCCAGATAAAGCATCATGAAGATTCCGTATAAAGTAATCACGGTACTCTGCTGGCAATGACATGAATGTACCTCCCATCAAGATGAATTCAACCTGCAATCAGACATTCATAACTATGAGTATTCACAAAAAATTTCAAAAACCAGATAGAATTAGCAGTATTTCCAAGGAAGAAACCTTGTCAACACTGTGACCCAATCTCTTAAGCTGATCAATCCGGCTTCGAGCTTGTACATAAGGGTTGTATCTGGCAAAATGAACGACATAAGTACATTTAAATAATCTGATACAACCCGTGATTTTCTCTTCAAAACACCTTTTTGAATAAACGAGAGTAAAAGAACTTCAGAAAGCTATGTGTAAAGTAAAAGCAAGTACATCCACATTTTTTCCCTAACGAATTTTAAATTTTTAAGACCTATAATTCCTGGAGAAGAAAAGCTTGAAACAAATTCACAGTTTAGTCTATCTATCTTCATAATGATAAAATAAAGATAGAATTGATTGTCACCTAGCTCGAATAGCTCGCATACTAGTAGGCTCATATCCAGTGTATGACTGTGTACTGTACTCAAAATCAGAATCGGGTCCACCAGGGCAATAAACACAAATGTTTCCAGTGGTAGCTATATGAGGACAGCGATGAGGCTTGGACATTACAGCAACCACTGCTATGCCCGACGCTGTACGGACGGGCTTGGCTCGGAGTTTGGGAAGCAGTGATTCACGCTCGGAGTCAGGCAAAGCAGCGATCATCTCTACCAACTTTGGAGCCCTAGAAAGCCCGTATTTGCGGCACGCTGCTGACTTTAACGCATTTAGGTCTACGTCCTTGCCTTTCCGTGAGAGTTCCACCATGTTGTTGACGATCTCCGTTATAGCACGAACTCTGGCTTCTTCCTCCGTCAGGCCAAGGGAGACGACGCCGCCTCTCCCCGGCCGTGGGAGCTTTCGCGTGTCTGCTACAGCCGCCGCCGCCATGAGTGATAGGTTGAAGAAACCCGAATTATGACCTGAACCCGCGGATGTCGGTTGCTTGATTTTGCTGCTTGCCGATGGACCCGTAATGAGAAAAATGGACGGCTACATTTTAAATTTTTTACAAGCTGGTGTTCTTATTATTTGAAAGATGCGATAAAGACCCCAGGTAAGTGAGAGTTTTCAGTTTTGCACTGATTATATTATGTTTTAGGATTTTGAGATGGCGAATAAAATGATTCTGGTTTTAATTGAAAATCTAGTCTGGAGCAAATTTACATTTAGGATTTACTCACTTCTTGTTTAGCAAATTCAGTAATTTAAATCTTCTTTTAAAAAGTTGTATGGTAATATTTTAGGTATAGAGTAACAATACAAATTCAGTACATTCCCACAAGTAGGGCCCGGAAAGAAGTAGGGCCCGAAAAGAGTAATGTGTACGCATACATTACCCCACCTATATGCATAGTAATACTTAATATTGTGCCATTGTGGGTGAATTCAGCACTTTCTGTTGATAAATATTTACAGGAAAACGAAGAAGGAAAACCACAAAACCACAACAAAATTGACTCCTCCGGAAATTATGTATACACGGATCACTTTCTATATATTTTGCATCAAAGATGCTGAGAACATGAAAAAAAGAAAAAAAGCTAAACTAAGTTGATATGATGTACAACAGAGAGAAGGTACTTCATCTGGTTTTGAAAAAAAAAAAAAGCATCATGATTCATCTTCCAACTCTGAAGTCTCTACTTGCTGTGCTGAAGTCTCTACTTGCGCTGCTGGACCTTCAATTGTACCAACAACTCGTCCTTGCCCAGGTAGAAGAATACTCCCAACTAAATAAAGAAAAGTAAATTAAATGGGATATGCATATACCAAACTAAAATATGAAGGTGCTTTTCTTCTATAATTATACGATCGATAAATACTGATGTCCACCCTGAAATAGCTTGTGGAAACGAAGATAAGACGAAGGGAATCTGTTACTATAAGAAAGATTCACCTGATAATAAACTTTTGGCAAGAAGCATCTGTGCAAATTGGATTTCTGTTTGGTGGGTGCTAATGAATTTGGCCTGCAAATTATATTTCTATAAGACTGCAATTACACAATACATATAAGAGACAAACTACTGATCAAAAACCTTAAGCAGTCCTTTTGACTTGCATGCACAAGCACAGTTTCATCCAACCTTACTCTGGAATTTATGAAAATCTTTGAAAAAGAGCCAAAGCATCAAGTGACAGAATGTTACATCCTAGTAAATTGAATTAGATTACATTTTACATCACGTTAAATTAATCGGCAAGTTGCATCAACACATTTCAAAGTCAAATTTATGACACACAATAATAGATAACTTTTACCAGTTCTCCATGAAATAACTCCAAAATATTATCCAGTCTTCCTTGATGTCTCATGAGGAAAGGGCGTAGATGGTTTGTGTACAATTGCTTAGCACCCTGTGTAACACCAAAGAAGTGCATCACTTTCCAAAAATCCATTTTCAGTGAAATGGTAAGTATAAACTTCAAGCTAAAGCTACATCATTAACTCTAATTAAGCAGTTCAGCAGAATTCACCTCAAAAGCAGCTAGATATTTTTTTATTTGGCCTGACACGCTCGCAAGTGTGTTGAGATTAGGACATTTTAATGCTAATTTTAATTGATTAAAAAAAGTCACAGAAGGTCCCTCATGATGATTATTTTTTTTTTTTAAACTTAGTTCACTATCCTCGCCATTCTCTATTTTCCACTGTCTGCCAGATTCACTAGCTTCCCCTCACCCACCCGCCACCCACTCATCTCTCAACCATCCTTAGACTCCGCCTTCCTTGACGCCGGTGTGAAACCTAAGCTGCATGTTCCTTTTCTCTTGTTTGAAACCTACACTACACCTACTTCCTCTATCTTCTCCTCCCAAACGTGTTATTCTTCTATCCTTCCTCGGGTTTCTCTCACCAGCAGAATCAACAATTGGCTTTCATATGGAAAGAGTATCCAATTAGAAGTAGTAAGCTCCCAAAGTCATAGTCTTTGTAACGGTAAAGAGGTGCTGGCTATATTTCCCAAGCACTTACCTTTTGAAATGGGCAGGATATATTCAGGAGATAAAAACCATGATAGTGAAATTGTTTTACATCCATCCTCCCCAAAGCAGGTAAGCAAAATGGAAAGGGAAGAAAAAGATAAAACTTCAAGAAACAGAAATATCTGTTGAACTCACATCAGCAGATGGAAGTTGAAGCCAAACAAGAAATGCGAACTTCACATGATAGTATAGTGGGAACCTATGAAATAAGACAAAGCTCCTCCATGTTACTTTGGTATTCCCAAACAAATAACCTCATTTAAACACATTACTGGCTATAAAAAAATTAGAAAAAGGAAGTGAAAGTAGTCACCAGTAGAGAAATTTATCCGTGAATGCTTCAAGAATACTGAAAGATCCATATGCTGCAAGCAGAGAGAGGGAGAGTAGCTTATGCTTGACTGAACAGAGACATATGGGCGAGATAATTACAATAACCTAAAAGTCTAACTAGTTACCGTGAGGCCTCCAATCCACAGTGATTAGGCCTTGAATTGGTTAAGCATAAGCCACCAGTAAAGCAAAGTATTCATGGAGTGAGGGTTTCTTTTATTATATTATTATTTACTTACTTTTTGTGTGTGTGTGTGGGGTGGGGGGGGGGGTAGG